TTCAATTTCACTGTATTGTAAATCATTCTACTTGATATGCAAAATGATGATTAGGGTTTTGGCATACACTTGTTTGTTCATGATTTAAAGGTAATTTTTCTCTTCAATTTTACTGTAGCTATTAACATGAACTATAACCTGCTTCTCTTGAACAAAATTATGCCCTAATATACAGAACCAACTATGGGACATACATTTGGAACAATTTGAGTGAAACAATTATTAGTTTTTGCTCTTGAAATGCTTGGTTCTCAAAAAATTGATTTTTTTGGCCTGGATTTGATACGTGCTCGATCAAATTTTTATTTGTCAATGGTTCCGGTGCACAAATACTGCTTTATGTACTCATCATAATTAGAGTTACAAATACTCCTAATGACGAGTTCTCCCCTGCTTTTTTGCTTCTAATTTACTCTTACAACCATTTTAGCTTCAAATATTCAATTCAGACGTTGACAATGGTATTAATTGATTGATTAGAGAAATAGTTTATATAACATTATTGGAAATTGTAAATACAAAAAAAATGCAAAATAAAACAGGACTCATCATTGCCAAGTAGCCATGAAGGTCTAAACAAGTTGGATAGAGCAACAACAGCCCTTGGAGACCTTGGCCCCTCGGTGCACCTCTTGCTTTGAATAATTAGGTGAAAGTGAATTGTAACAGATGCTTCCTAGATCCATTATTGTACATAGAACAACAGAAGGGATTGTGGAAGTTCTAGATTGTCATAGAACTATGTAGACCTAAAATGACAAGTTCTACAAAAGTAATATTTTTGATCATTTAGTTATCAATATAGTACTCACGTGAAATCTTGAGAAAATTAGAATACCGAATTATTTCAACAGCATCCATTGAGGATTGTCCCCTACAAACTCCCAGAAAGATTCTCTCTCTCTCTCTCTCTCTCTCTCTCTCTCTCTCTCGTGTTCTAGCTTGCGGTAGGGATACTTTTCTCACTTTTTATGAGTTTTACCTTAGCTATTTGTTATTTTTAAGAAATGTTGAAATTTTGGAAGGTTTGAAACAAACTAGGGTTTTGGGTAAAAATTAAAAAAAAATGAGTTTTTTCAAATGGATTCTTGAAAATGATTTTGACATGGAAGATAATGTTGAGTTGGGAATAAATTGTTGATTTTGGATGTTGGGATTGATTTTGAAAATAAAAGAATTTTGCCCTAAATGCCTCAAATATTAATTTGGTATAAACAATGAGGTTGATATTGAAATTGTGAAATTGAGATGATGTTGATGAGGAAGGTAGAGTTAGATATGTATTATTGCTCACCTCTTGAAAATTTGAAGAATTTGCCTTTATTGATAATTGTTTATCTGTTAAAAATATTTATTTTAGGCTATCGGCAGAGTATAGTTATGAGTGTTGTAGAAATTGCATGTGAATTAGGAGAATTGAAACTATTTCCTCACTTATTTGCATTGAACATTATCTCACACTTATACATTAATAATGTTTATCGTTTTGAGAAAAATGGTGAATCTGGGAAACATGAATTATAATGTTGAACTAAGTTGGCTTGAGTGTCCAGAGTGAAAATCCTAAAAACTGCGCGTCTACATGGGTACCGATCCCGCGAACGAAATTTCCGTGAAATGGCAATAGTAGTGCTAGTATAGCCTATGTTTACATGGGTCCCAATTTACGGTTTTCTCTGGACGAAATTTTCGGGAAAGATTGTATTTGTTTTGAAATTTCCAGAGTGTGATTCATTGCCTTATTTTCTATTGCAAAGGAAATGATTTATGAACCATGATATTAATGTGGCATTACATGGTTTTGGAAAGAGATATATAAATGTTTTGGCACAAACATTGCATATGCATTCACCTTATAGTTTTGTTAAGATTCATATACTGTGTTCGATTAATTCTACTGAGCTTTGGCTCACTCAATATGGAAAAAATATTTCAAGTGCTGATGATATACCTCCGCCAAGGCAATAGCTTGGGAGGACTTTGAGTGAGAGCTTCTTTTGTGCATTTTCTGTTTTCTTTTATTTTGTATAAGCCGAGGGCTTTAATTGTATTGGACTTAAGTCCACTTTTGTTTTAACCAAGCATTGTCTTGGAAAAATGTAAGTCTTTAGGGCATTCTTATCTGTTTACCCTCCATTCTTTCTTTTAGCTTGTAACATATGCTATAGATTCAGGGCTATGCATTATGAATATTTACCGCATATGTTTCTCTTTTGTAAATCATATTGGACTTAATGGAAGATGCTTCTCTTATTATTGTTGTCGCAAAATGGATATTGTGGATGAATTATTGTAATTATTTCGAGGCGTTATGTTTCCATCAAACTTTTTGATTCGGATATTAATTTTATGAATTGGTGATACCAGAAACAAGCTACATTGTGGTATTATGATGATAGACAAGGATTGGGGGCATCTTAATTAAAAACACTTTCTTTTTCTTTTCTTTTTTGTCTTTCTTTCTTGTAAATTGGTTGAGCCACACAATTACATGGCAACCATACAAAATTTTGTGAATGTGGCTAAAAGAATGCAAAGTATCCTCAAAAGATTCTATGTATTTGCAAAGATTGTCAACATTCATGCCACCATTTTGTTGAATTTGTTTGAGCACTAGTTTATTAAGGGAATGTTTCTTAGTACATAAATTGGGTAAGAATAAACAGGTAAATTCATAACTTGGGAATTTATGAGCTTCCTCTCCTATTAACACCTTTCGATTCAAAGTTTTTCATTGACCTTGTTACTTTGTTTTTCTGCTTAACTAACAATGTTCATTTTTTGTTTACTGATTAATCATTAGTTTTGAAATTACCAATCCTATTAATTGTTAAATTATATTGGGTGTGAGATTCAGATCATCTCTATTACATAGTTGTAATGGAAGATTTCCAATCCCTATGTCTAACCCATTTATACTGTCTAGGGATTTAATTTACTTTCTGCAATTGTTGTTTTTGGAAAGAAGTGGGGACTAAACTTATTAGATAAGAAAGCTTGAAGAATGGAAAGTTTGTACATGAAAAAATGGTGCATTTGAATGAGTTGGTTATTTTCTATAGTGCATGGTTACATTGTCTTTAACATTGTTTATAAGTTATGTTATGCGGATATGGAGATTACATTTATATTCTTTTATTTTGAATTGTTTTCTACTCTAATTATATTGTATGTAATGTATGAAGTTTTATATATATATATATATATATATTTCACTACATCTCTTTGTGAAGGCCTCTACTATTGGTTTTGATAAATCCATCACACTTTTATTTATAGATTATTGACAAGCATTACTTTTTGTAAGTTTTGTTTTAATTTTTTTTTTTTTTTCCTTGTAGTTTTAGCGTATTTGTATGAATTATTTTCCAAGTGCTCATTTTCCAATGACACTCAGCTATTTACATTTTCCAAATAGGCTTATGCCTTTGCATACATCTTTCCTGATTTCTGTAAATCAAAGGTTCCGTTTGGTAGGCAATTCAAATTATAGTTTCATCCATTGATTTGAGTGTGTTATTTGTTTTGAATTTTTAAATCATAATTCTACACCTATTTCTCAAAACTTAATTCAAAATATAATCATTACTTTTTAAAACTCATAACCAAACACATAAATTCAAAACTCTTTTCAAAACTCAATTCAAATCAATATTTTAATTTTTTAAAAATATGTTACGATTTTTGTAATTTTTTAAATATTTTAATTTCAAAATATTACAATTTTAATTTTTTAAATTTTAAAATATTTTATAAAAATAAATTCAAACTCTATTTTATAAAAATATTTTTAAATATTTTAATTTTGTTGTTATGTATTGAGTTAAGATTTGAGTGTAGAGTTGTGAAAATAATATGAAGTTTTGAGTTATGTGTTTGGTTATGAGTTTTAAGAATAATTTCTTAATTGAGTTTTGTTTTATGTGTTTGGTTACAATTTGAGTATAGAGTTGTTTTTAAAATTAAAATATTAACATTTTAAATTATTTAAATTTTTTGAATATTTAAATTATTTAAATTTTTACGATTTAATTTTTTTGAATATTTATTTTAATTTTTTACTTATTAAATTTTTTAGATTATTTAGATTATTTAAATATTTATGATTTAAATTTTTTGAATATTTATTTTGAAAAAAAATTATTTCCTTTGTAGTATTTTCAATTAAAGAATTGATTAACGTTATTTTTTTGTTAATAATAAAATTTTTTAATTGAATTTTAAAAAGAGTTTGGTTATGAGTGTTGATCAGAATTTTCAATAGTGTGAAAGTAGTGTATTTTGTTATGAGTTATAACAATTTGAATTAACTTTTGAAAACTCTTTCCAAAACTTATAACTAAACAAATTTTCTTACTTCACATGTCAAATCAAACTTTCAAAACTCAATTCCATACTCAATTCAAAACTCAATTCAACACTCTATTAAAAAACCATAACCAAACAAATTTTCTATACTCAAACCATAATTTCACAACTCACAAACTCAAAACACAACTCATACTCTCAAATTATATTTACAAAATTATACCAAACGCAACCAAAATTTTCTTGTAATGGGCACCAATAAACGCCAATAATGGGCATTAGTTAGCATAGCGTGTCTTGCACGTAATCAATCAATTGTGATAAACACCTCTACACATACATGACTCTCACAACTCTCACTTTCATCTCAATCACTCATAATATGAGGTCCACCTATACATAAGTAGACTCTACACACACATATCGACTATCAAAATCAAATTAGGGGTTATGGAACCAAAAAAAAAATCGTCCCAAACATTTCTGTGCTGTCAATTCACTGTTAGAGAATATAATGTAAATGTGTCCAAATTTAATATAATTTAAAAATAAATTATTTATCTATATAATAAAACAGAACGGATTTTGAAAATGTGTTAGACACAACTGTCCTACTAGGACATTTCAAGGGTGAGGATTCATTTGTGTATTTACATGGATGGCTTAGATAATCCCTTAATTTTATATAAATCCTTAATTTTATGCCTCCTCCTTACCCACGTCTCTCCACCCTTCTATCTTTATCTCTCTGATCTCCAGCCAAATCACGTCTCCCCTCCATCCCTCTTTATCTCTCTCTCTCTCCCTGTTCTTCTTCTTCCCGAAACTGCTCTCCTTCAACCACAGATTCGGTTTCGTCTCCATCCCTATATTCGGTTCCGTCTAGCTGTGCTTCAACCGCTCAGGTATGGCAATCTCTATCACAACTATTCTTCTCACCCTTTAGAATCAGAATCACAATAGTTCTGAATCTTTTTATTTTCATCATTTCAGATTTCTGAGGTTACGATTTCAGAGGTTGCGATTTCATCGCTCAGGTATGGCAATCTCTATCACAACTATTCTTCTCACCCTTTAGAATCAGAATCACAATAGTTCTGAATCTTTTTATTTTCATCATTTCAGATTTCTGAGGTTACGATTTCAGAGGTTGCGATTTCATCGCTCAGGTATGGCAATCTCTATCACAACTATTCTTCTCACCCTTTAGAATCAGAATCACAATAGTTCTGAATCTTTTTATTTTCATCATTTCAGATTTCTGAGGTTACGATTTCAGAGGTTGCGATTTCATCGCTCAGGTATGGCAATCTCTATCACAACTATTCTTCTCACCCTTTAGAATCAGAATCACAATAGTTCTGAATCTTTTTATTTTCATCATTTCAGATTTCTGAGGTTACGAGTGGTGTGGACCTTGCCCTCTATTTCTTTCCATAATGACATCTTATTCTGAAGGTTGAAGAAACCATCAGCGGTAAAAATCAGTACATGTGTGCATGTAGGTGAGTATTTTAATGAAGCAACTATGCTGTTAAATAACCAGCATGACTCTGTGTGCTGCAATTGCTAATCAAAGAACAAACAAATTGTTTTCTCACTTTTGATAATGCCTTCCAGCCCTAAATCTGGATATTACAACATCTCACAGTCAGCTTCCACCAGAAAATAAAGAATCCATAATTTAATAAAATTACAGTCAATTAATATAACAATATCTTATATTGCTGCACCTCAAGTTTTGGCCTGGGTTTGAAAGGAGAATATAGCATGCATAGCAGTGAGAAAATGACTGCTTTAGTATGTGTTACAACTTAATAATGGGAGTCAAATTCATTGTTCAAAACAAGAATAATAGCATATTTCAGTTGATAGTTCTGATTAATTCTTGCTTCGGTTCTTGCTTTCAGATTTTCTGATTATCTGAAAATCACCAAGTCGACCATTTTTTTTCTTGAAAGGCTTGCGGAGATACCAGAAAACAGAGTTTCTGCAAAGCATTACGGTTAATTTTCAGGTTAAATTCTTTCAGGTAAAATTCTAATTGCGAACATATAAACTTCTAATACTTCGTTTTCCAAATTTTCCACATTTCACAGTAGCTTGATTTGTAAGATTGATGATGATTGAGATTGAATCTATTGAGATTGAATCATACAAGGGTCTAATGATTGCAGTTGGCAATGCTGCATCTGTTTCAATACTAATGGTAGCAATGTTGAAGTGAAAATCGTAAGCAATCACATGACCGTTAAATGGTTTATCATTCATCACATAAACACCAACCTCAACCTGCAATAATAGTAAGTCATACCCACCCAAAAAAATAATACTAAAAAACATTGAATAGTGTTGTACTATGCCATGTATTTTGGGTTCGCTTGGTTTGTATTTCTAAAAAATTTTTGGAAAATTTTCTCTACAAATAAGTTTTTAAAAGTAATCAAACCAAACAAATTTTCCCAAAAAAATTTCTCAAAACTTGTAAACCAAACAAGTTTTCCAAACAAATCTCTCTCTCACACACATCAAATCAATCACTTTTTCCAAAACTCTCTCTCAAAATAATTTTCCAAAACATCTTTTGAAAAAAACCAAACCAAACAACTTTTCGTACTTTTTATCTCTAAAACACCAACCTCAACCTGCAATAATAGTAAGTCATACCCACCCAAAAAAATAATAATAAAAAACATTGAATAGTGTTGTACTATGCCAAGTATTTTATAATTTAAAAAAAAAAAGAACAACAACAACAACAACAACCACCTTAATGTCATCTGGTATAGCATTTGCATCAATAGGTGATCTTAGGAGAGTTGCAGAAGTTAAAATGGTACTGATGAATGTTCCATTACATCCTCGCATTCTATTATAGTCCCAGAACATGCAAACATCATCTTCCCACCTAGACATTGAAATAAATAAGCAAAGTCTCTACCTCTGTGTATAGCATTTGTATAAACATGAAAGCACATGCAAGAATGAAAACTTTTATTGTCAATTAGTAGAGTGTAGTCTATTAAATATATTTTTATAATTGCATTTTAATCTTAAATTTAAATAGTGTTGCAATTACAATTATATTATAATCCTAACATTATTTACACCGTGCCTTCAGGCACGGGCATACGCTAGTTAATTTATAAATTTATACTCATTTTTTTGGAACTAGTATTCCATATAAAATTATCAACAATTGAACAGAGTAGCGAGTGAGAGAGGGAGGGAGAGATGATTTCAGAGAAGGAAGAAGAAGCATCAGTTCCTCGGCGCTTATCCTGCACCACCTGCTTTGATGCGCTCTGGTTTTGCTATTGTACGCTCCTTATATCTCTCTTTCAATTTGAGTTCCTTTTATTGTTTTCTACATGTACCTGGTAATCAATATTTTTCTATCCGATTGATCTCCAAAACGAAAATCATTTCAAAAAGCTTATCTTCATTTTAATCTTAAAGATGTGTTTTTTTTATTTTAATTTTTCAATTTCACTGTATTGTAAATCATTCTACTTGATATGCAAAATGATGATTAGGGTTTTGGCATACACTTGTTTGTTCATGATTTAAAGGTAATTTTTCTCTTCAATTTTACTGTAGCTATTAACATGAACTATAACCTGCTTCTCTTGAACAAAATTATGCCCTAATATACAGAACCAACTATGGGACATACATTTGGAACAATTTGAGTGAAACAATTATTAGTTTTTGCTCTTGAAATGCTTGGTTCTCAAAAAATTGATTTTTTTGGCCTGGATTTGATACGTACTCGATCAAATTTTTATTTGTCAATGGTTCCGGTGCACAAATACTGCTTTTATGTACTCATCATAATTAGAGTTACAAATACTCCTAATGGCGAGTTCTCCCCTGCTTTTTTGCTTCTAATTTACTCTTACAACCATTTTAGCTCCAAATATTCAATTCAGACGTTGACAATGGTATTAATTGATTGATTAGAGCAATAGTTTATACAACATTATTGGAAATTGTAAATATAAAGAAATGCAAAATAAAACGGGACTCATCATTGCCAAGTAGCCATGAAGGTCTAAACAAGTTGGATAGAGCAACAACAGCCCTTGGAGACCTTGGCCCCTCGGTGCACCTCTTGCTTTGAATAATTAGGTGAAAGTGAATTGTAACAGATGCTTCCTAGATCCATTATTGTACATAGAACAACAGAAGGGATTGTGGAAGTTCTAGATTGTCATAGAACTATGTAGACCTTAGAATGACAAGTTCTACAAAAGTAATATTTTTTGATCATTTAGTTATCAATATAGTACTTACGTGAAATCTTGAGAAAATTAGAATACCGAATTATTTCAATAGCATCCATTGAGGATTGTCCCCTACAAACTCCCAGAAAGATAAGGGAAATAAAGATAAAAAGATAGCCGAGAGATGCTTAATTAACTTTTCCCCATAAAGCCAAGATACTTTTTGAAGACTATTGTCGGGCACTAAGGGTCCATTTAAGTTTGATGACAGTTTTATGCAGATTATGCATTGTCTACTCTACTGCAATTTCACTAGGCATTCACTTTGTCCTTCTTCAATCTCTTTACACTGTGTTTGGTTGGGGGATTTGGAAAAGGAAAGGGAAAAGGTGTGTAAAACTAGGTGAAATATAGGTATGTTTTATTCACACCTACCTTTTCCATTTCCCTTTCCAAATCACTCCTCAAATCCCCCAACCAAACACAGCATTAGTGGTTTTTTTTTGTTGTTTGGATTGTCAAACTAATGGCATTCATGTTTTCTCAGCTCCTGTCCATCAGATGCAGCAGTATTATAGGCTTGGTGTCCTTGATAACTGTTCTGGAAAATGGAATGCTCTTGTTGATTGCTTAACTCTGAAAACAAAACGAACTTCTGTAGTGGAGGTATGTCCTTAAACCTAAATTACTAGTAGGAATGCTAGTAACAACCTCAGTACATGGATTCTAAAATCACTGTTCGCATAGATTAAGGCCTGAAGCTATGTTTTGGTTTTTACTTATACTTTGGGATAATTGATGGTCCACTCTCAGATACCTTCTTGATGAACTATTACATGTTCTGCTGGTCTAAATTCAAAGCTGCTATGATCTTTTATTTACTTTTTTCTTTAATAGAACATTTTTTTTAAATATATGTCTGCTTTGTTCATATTTTTTTTAAAAAAATATTTGTTAAATTTTTTGATAGAGATAAGATTCAAACCCCCAACTGCACAATTCCCTCTCATATGCCATGTTAGTGTCACCCATCCCCCACAACAACGAAATTCTTGTATGTGATACTAGAGTAATAGATTACAAACCCTGATTATGATCACTTCCTAAAACAGGATAGGGTGACCATGATTATTAATTTATTATTAACTAAAGTCTGCTTGGACATTTTTTGCCCTGTTCTGCTGTAAACACCAAAGTAAATGAAATTTCTTGCATACTGTAGGATGTAAGATCCTCTTTATCAAGTGCAAAAAATGGCTTTATTTTGGTTAATCCAATTTTGGTTTTCTAGACAGTCGTAAGAAAAAGAAAAGGAGAGATAAATAAAAACCTTTGCAAATAGTTATTTGCTTAAGGTGATTCCAATTTGAACAACCTACGAGAGTGAACGTCAAACCACAATTTTGCTATTTCCGAGTTAAGAATCAAGGTTACTTTGTGCTTTTTTTAACAATATTATATATATTGATATCATGTGAGTGGAGCCGTTATTGTTGCTGACAAAATATTTTTCCCCGTAATAAGTGTGGTAACAATTCAGTTCTTGATTTTTAGTATTCAAGCTCTCAGCTCATTTTTTCAGTGTTTCTGCCCCTTGGATGTGTGTGTTCATACTTGCACATGTGAAATTGTGATTGCTACTACCCTCCTGGATGTGCATAGAAATAGTGACTTGTAAATGAGAATCTAGTAGGCAGTGGCATGGCCAACACGTGTCCCCGCTTGTCTGAAGCATGTCGATGTCCAACATGTTGCGGACACGGCTACGATGACTAACATGAAGTATCTGTGCTATGCTTCATAGGTACTGCCCTAATCAGTAATTGGGACTAATGTTTGGATTCTTGGCTTCTTGTAGCGGAGATAAAGAAGTTGGTGCAGGCAATTTTTTCTCAAGTAATGTCAATGTATTCATTAGGAAGGGGAATTTGGAGATAGATAACTTTTAAAAAGGCAGAAGTTTGGAGAATCTTCTGACGTCTGCCTGATGTCTGTACTGAAGTGGTTGAGCACTTGTTCTTGTCTGTTTAGAAGCTGGAATTACCATTACTCATAATAGTTTTTCTATTATCATATACTTGTATTTCTTCATCATAGCTTGAGATCATACCCACATTTTAGGTTGTGATGGAGGGAGACAATTATGATTTTAAAATTCAAGCTATGTCATGCATGGTTTTGAATATCGTCCCCCAACTGTGTTGGGTGATGCGTATCAAGTTTTTGTCCTGATAAAAAATAACGCTCAATTAGTACAACATTAATGTATGTTTGGGAGGAGAAAGATTGGGTATACACCATAGTATATTGGTTGGAATTGAAAATCACTTGCGTATTGGCCGGTTCCCAATATGTATTGGTTCACAGTCGATACATAGCCGATTTGCAGTCAATACTGTCGGTTCATAGTCGATTCATAGTCAATATGGCAGGTTCATAGCCGATTCAACTCAAATATTTTTGAGGTTGGTGATTTTAAAAAATTCACGACCACAACACCCAATTCTCAATACATATCAGTCGATACCCCCAATACTGTTACATATTCTGATACTGCTATTTGAAACTATAACGGCATGTGCAATTTTCTGTGTTCTGCTGCAAATAACAAGCTGAGCGCCTCATAATGCAGGAAATCCTGGAAACTCGAGAAAAAGCAAAGCCTCACATCTGGTCTTTTCGGACACCAGAAGAAGCAGCATCCCATTGGAAAGAACTTTTTGGAAATTTAGACGAAGTGGAATGACTTCTTCTCTATATTCTATTTTCATCTTTGTTACTCTTTTCAAATGTCTAGCAATGACAAGAATAAGAACACATGAGAAACCAGGTTTAGAGAGGTTTTGATCTGTAATGTTATCAACAGGTTTAAATGGTTACATGAGAAGTTTTTCTTGAGCAAGAGTAAGCATGACTAACAAATTTTACGTTGTTTGACATACTTGAATTGTCCTTCATTATATTATTTGTGTTGAATATTAAAATTTAATTATGAATAAGAACAAGTTATAGATTTTGTTTTGATTGTCTATATAGCATTTTTGTTTAACAAATGCCCCACCTGAATTGAAACAAGCGACCTATGAGAACAATTCTGATACTCTCATTTCTCATGTTATTATTAAAATTTGCAACTATTAATATAAAAGAGTTATACTAGGATCTCAAATAATTTATTAAATTTTCTATTAAATTTCTCACATGGGTGTGGAACTTACACACATATGGATTTGTGTGGATTTTACACCCATGTACGAGGTTTAATAGAAAATTTGGTGCATTATTTAGGTTTCATAGCATTTTCCAATATAAAAAATTTAATCTAGTAATGTGCCATCTATTGTGACAAATTTGGCATGTTTTACTGAATTTGTAGCAAGTTGAACGTTTAATCATCAACTTTATAAAATTTACTCTTGAATTTACAAAAACGTCATGTCATGTATTTTTTTTTTTTTTATAGAATTCATAACAAAATAATTTCGGTAAATTCCACTTTTTTGAAATTTTGATAATTACAGAGACCTCTATGATTTCAATAATTAAACTAATTTTTTTTACTTTTGAAATTATTATCAAGATTTCTCTATTAATAGGCTATTTAACAGAATTTGCTTATGTTATTTTGATGTCATACAAAAAATGACGAAATTCTCCATTAATTACTTTATCTATTCGAATAAGAAATTTTATTCACCTCTCTTGAGGTTTTGCATATATATTATCAAAATTTCATACATATTTTACCATTGTTTAATAAAATTCTTAAATTTCATACAATATTAAATAAAATCTTGAAATTGTTAAGACATTATTAAATCATTTAACAAAAAAAAAAAACTAAATTTTTATTGATAAAATACTTAAAAATAAATAATCTCTCTAAAATTAATGTTAGATAACATCCCAATAGTTTAATATAAGGCTTATTCCACACCACATAAATAACTTGAAATTTATTATTTTAAGTAATTCATTTATTATTTATTTATTTTAAAGTTAAAATACATAGATTAATTTTTTTTCTTAACAATTTGCATTACTTATTTATTCATATGTAAAAAAATTACTATTTTATCTTTTCTTAATTATATATTATTCTCAAATTTTAATTTTTATCTTTGAGTCATTAAACTTCTAGTTGATGATATTTAAAAAAACGAAGGTTAATATTTCTTACATGATTACAAAAAAAATAAAAATAAATAAAATAGAAGTAAAAAAATTTAATCGCCTCACAATAAATTAAAATTAGTTAATAGGCAATGAAAGATTAAGAAATCATTTAAGAATAAACAATTCAAACAATTATCATTTCTTACGCCTAAAGTTAAAATTAATCTTTACTTGAATGGAGAAATTATTTGAGAATAATAAAATACTAAGTTAATTTGTTATGTATGATACTTAAAATACCATTCTCCATCTTTATTTATCTTATTTAAACCATTTTTATTAAATTAAATCTTAAAATTTATTTCTCACATTCATTAATGGTTGAATTTTTATTTTATTTTTTGTTTATAAAAGTTCAAAAACTTGTTGTGGAAAAAAATAGAGTCAAGAAATTACATTTATATTTTAAAAAAACTATGAAAAATAAATAATAGTTTCATATATATTTAATAGGTAAATTAAATTAAATTAAATTTATATATTTTTTATTTAGAAATTTTTTTTATTTTGTTGTGTAATAGTTTAAATGAGAAAAATAAAGATGAAGAAATATATTTTAAGTATCATACAACAAATTAATCGAGTATTTTATTATTCTAAAATAATTTCTCCATTCAAGTAAAGATTAATTTTATTTTTAGGTATAAGAAATAAAAAATTGTTTGAATTGTTTATTATTCTCAAATGATTTCTTGATCTTTCATTCCTTATTAACTAATTTTAATTTATTGTGAGGCGATTATATATATATTTTTATATTTCTATATTTAAATTTTAATCTTTTTAATAATGTAAAAATAACCTACATTTTTTTTTAAATATGCATCGACTAGAAATTTAATAACTCAAAGATAAAAATTAAACTTTGCTAATAATATCTTAACAATTGAGGGATAAATAATTTTCTTACATATAAATAAATAAGTAGGACAAATTGTTGGAAAAAAAATTTAATCTATTTGTTTCAACTTAAAAAAATAAATTTAAATAATAAATGTACTAATTAAAATTGATAAATATTTCGTTACTTATATAGTGTGAAATAAGTCTTATAAGTATTGTATTAATTATTACGGCCTTATATTAAACTATTAGGGCGTTAAGTTAAAATATGCATGGATCTTTAACACTAATATATATGCAAAAACCTCAGGGGAGAAGAGTGAAATTTTTTATTTAAATAACTTATTAGTTCAAGTGGGCAATATGGTCATTTTGAATAGAAAAATTTAACGAATTGAGAAAATTTTGATATTGTCAACAAAAGAAATTTTTTGTAATTATTAAAATTATATGAGATGTCCCTATATTTATCAGAAACCTTATAAATAATTAGTACAATTTACCCAAATAACTTTAATTCAAAATATAATTTAAAGGCATTCCAGTACTCGCTTGTTTTCCTAGTTATAACCACACGAGTTCAATGAGATCATTACAATTTACAAAGCAAATGATAAGTTCAACAGAATGAATAATGTGAGCAAATCATGTGAATTCGGAAATGCTTCATTCTCCATTTGCATTAGAAATTTTTTTTAAGGGAATTTTGTCAAAGATCCTATTTACTCAACTAATATTCCATCAGGCCCTACAGATTTGAAAAAAGCCCAATAAATCCCATCCCAAAATTAACTGACTAAAATACCCTCACAATATATATATATATATATATATGGCAAATTGCGCTATACCCATCTCAACTATCATCGTTTCTCACTTTACTCCCTCAAACTAAAAATTGATACAATGTATTCTCTTATCTTCTGAAAATTTTCGATCTAATTTTTATCTTCATTCTATTAACAAAACAAACGGAAAAAGAGCATGTAATATACACATGTCATATTTATGATGAAAATATCCTTTAAATATCTATCATAATATGACACGTGCGCATTACATGCACATTTTTTTGGATCTATTTTGTTAACATTATGGAGACATAAGAGTGAGATTGAAAACTTTCAAAAGATGAACAAGGTACATTGTATCAATTTTTAGTTTTGGGGAGTGAAGTAAAGAACAATGAAGTTGAGGGGGATAAAGTGGAATTTGCTTTGTATATATATATATATCTTATGACGGAAAATCCTAAGCAAGCGTAGTTCAACTTCTTACACTCTCAACTCTCAAAACTCAGATCGGTTGAAGATTTCTTCAATTCCATATTACAATTTTGAAGGTTGAGTCATTACATATTTCAACGAGATCATTACAAAGCGTACGATGAGTTCAGTAGACTGAATCATATAATCAAATCATGTTAATTTGTAAATTCCTCATTCCCCATTACATTATTGTGTAACAAGTTAGGTCCTATTTACTCAACTAATATTCCACAAGATCTTACCTATTTGTAAAAATCCCAATAAGTCCCATCTCAAAATTAGTTAACTAAAATACCTCCACAATATATTGGGCAAATTACTCATTGTCGACCTTAGTTATTATCTTTTTTCACTTTACTCCCTCAAACTAAAAATTGACACAATGTACCTCCTTCATTTTCTGAAAGTTTCAATCTTACTCTTATGTCTCCATTCTATTAATAAAAAAAAATAAAAAAAAATGTGCATATTGTATCAATTTTTAGTTTGAGGGGGTAAAGTAAAAATTAGTGATAGTTGAGGAGGTAAAGTATAATTTGCCTTATATATATATATATATATATGACGGAAAATCCTAAGCAAACATAGTTCAACTTCTTACACTCTGTAACTCTCAAAACTCAAATCAGTGGAAGATTTCCATATTGCGATTTTGAAGATTGAATCATTACATATTATAATGACATCATTACGAAGTGTACAATGAGTTCAATAGATTGAATCATGTAATCAAATCTCGTCAATTCATAAATTACTCATTCTCCATTACATTATTGCATTAGAAATTTTTTTAAAAGAATTTTGTCAAAGGCCCTATTTACTCTACTAATATTCTATTTTAGTAATTTTTTGACTTTTTACAAAAATATGTGCAGAAAAATAGAGATGTGATGTGACTAGTTTTAGTTGTCTTTTTGACTTTTTGGCTAAAATAGTCACTCCCTAAACGAGGCCTAAGTCTTACTCTAAGTCTTACTTATTTGAAAAAAGCTCAAATAGTCCCATCCCAAAATTAATTGACTAAAATAATGCCACCACTATATATATATATATATAGGGCAAATTACACTTTACCCTCCTCAACTATCATTTTTTTTTCACTAATATAACACGTGCACATTACATGAACATATTTTTGGTCTATTTTATTAACAGAATAAAAGGATTAGATTAAAAACTTTCAGGAGATGATGGGTTAACCCTTCCTTTTAATTAAAAAGTCAAAAAGTTACTAAGGTCTTGTTTGGCAACCCAACTTTTTAGCTAAAAAGTCAAAAAGTTACTAAATTAGCCAAAAAACCAACAACTCATACCGAAAAGTCAAAGATTCTCTTTTATCTCTACTTTTTGCACATCTTTTCGTAAAAAATCAAAAAGTCATCCCAAAATACTAGTTTTTTTTAGCTCATATTTTAACCAAATAGCTAAAAAATTACTAAATTAGTTTGTTCCCAAACGAGGCCTAGCCAAAAAGCCAACAACCCATACCAAAAAGTCAAAGATTCTATTTTCTCTATACTTTTTGCACGTCTTTTCGTAAAAAGTTAAAAAGTCACCTCAAACATACTAATTTTTTTTTGCTCATATTTTAGCCAAATAGTCAAAAAATTACTATATTAGCTTGTTACCAAACGAGGTGGTATCAAATTTTAGTTTAAGGGGTATTTAGAAAAGGGTCCAGTTTGTCTCAAGTTGAGATCAAGACTAGACCCGTTCAGTTCGGTCATGGAGTCTATTTTTTTGGCCCGTTTTGATAATTCGAACCGTTGAATATGTAGAACTCGTTGAGCACTACATTTTTATAAAAAAATCACGTTGATTGAATATCAATAGCTATATGATCAAATCAGTTTTGTATAAAAAAAATAGACGGTGAAACAATTAAGGGTTGATAAAAAATTATTTTATTCACATAACTATCGATATTCGATCAATGTAAATTTTTACAGACATATAATACTCAATAAATTCTATACATTAAACAATTTAAATTATCAAAACAAGAACCGTAATAGACCATGGACACAAGACGGTCCAGTCCGATCTTGAACTGGACCAGAACCACTGCCTTTAGATAACGGTGATGGTTGAGGGGGTAAACTATAATTTTCCTATCAACAATGATAGAGACCACTAATTTTGGAGCTCTAAAAAGACCACTAATGACATAACATTTAATAAAAAAAGAAAAAAAATACAACACCAAGACCAAAACATCAGATCATTCCTAGTGGGAGTCAGTGCTGCATCATTAGTGATAGCACTGTGCTCTCACTCATTTTCCTTTTCCTAACGAAAATCCTAAGCAAACGCAGTTCAACTTCTTACACTCTCAACTCTCGAAACGCAGATCGGTTGAAGATTTCTTCAACTCCATATCGCGATTTTGAAGATTTGTTTCCAAAAGCATTCATAATCGAAATCCTAACTTTCGCAATCCAAATCGTAGTCTACTCCAACTGATTTCGGAGTTTCAAATACGTCGAAAATGAGTAAGTTACATCCAATCGAAACCCTAATCAACTGTAATTTTCTTTAATATCTTGTTCTTGTTGTCGATTACATTGTAATTGTTCTTTACAATCTGATTATTGCATTGCTTATTTGTTCATATCTCGTTGCAAAATTCATTTTATTCAAATTAGTTGCTGCAAGTCACACCCAAATCAATTTTGTATAAATAAATTTGAGAAATTTCTCAATTTTGTTAAAATTAAAATTACAAATTTCTTGGCATTTTCCCCCTTCCTTTTCTTTATATCTCCATTCCCTTTCTCTGTTTTTCTTTAACACACTTGTACAAAACTAAAATATTGAATAGAATTGTGAAAGTTTTCAATTTGTGCAAAACTGAGAAATTCTCAATTTTAATTGAGAGAACAGTTAAAATTGAAAATTTCTTAATTCCGCATAGCTATATTTTTCAATGCTCTATATAGAAAAACGAAACTGTTTAGTCTAGAGAGAAAAACAAGACCACTTGCTCCACAGAAGAAAGCAAAATCATTCAATACTTATTCAAATCTTGAAAATCAAAATTACACAACTAGAATAAGAATTTGAAAATCAATAAACTCGTTCAACCAATTTCACGAGCTACCAATAACGAATTTGGAAACATTTACCTCATCTCCTTAGATCACAAACTGGGCAAATTTGTTGTAGGACTTATCCTAGCATGTGTTTCGCAGATGAGACCTCTAGGTAATTAACCCATATTTTTAATTAAAAGTATAATTTAGAGACATCAATTTTTAATATGGAAAATAATAATTACTTTTTGAAATGCAAAACCAATATTCAAAATTGGATTTAGTAATGTAATTTTCTTTAATATCTTGTTCTTGTTGTCGATTACATTGTAATTGTTCTTTACAATCTGATTATTGCATTGCTTATTTGTTCATATTTCGTTGCAAAATTCATTTTATTCAAATTAGTTGCTGCAAGTCACACCCAAATCAATTTTGTATAAATAAATTTGAGAAATTTCTCAATTTTGTTAAAATTAAAATTACAAATTTCTTGGCATTTTCCCCCTTCCTTTTCTTTATATCTCCATTCCCTTTCTCTGTTTTTCTTTAACACACTTGTACAAAACTAAAATATTGAATAGAATTGTGAAAGTTTTCAATTTGTGCAAAACTGAGAAATTCTCAATTTTAATTGAGAGAACAGTTAAAATTGAAAATTTCTCAATTTCGCATAGCTATATTTTTCATTGTTCTATATCGAAATTGTTTAGTCTAGAGAGAAAAAACAAGACCACTTTGCTTCACAAGGAAAAAGCAAAATCATCCAATATTTATTCAAATCTTGAAAATCAAAGTTACACAACTAGAACAAGAATTTGAAAATCAATAAACTCGTTCAACCAATTTCACGAGCTACCAATAACGAATTTGGAAACATTTACCTCATCTCCTTACATCACAAACCGGGCAAATTTCTTATAGGACTTAGATGAGACCTCTAGGTAATTAATCCATATTTTTAATTAAAAGTATTATTTAGAGACATCAATTTTTAATATGGAAAATAATAATTACTTTTTGAAATGCAAAACCAATATTCAAAATTGGATTTAGTAAATTCATTCATTACAATATTTAATTTCTTATTTTTGGGAATGAAATTAATTTCTTATTTTAGTAAATTTTCTTATTTAATTTCTTATTTTTGGGAATGGAATTAAACTTTAGTTTCTATAAATGACAAAACTATAAAACAAAGGTAGACTTTTTAATGCAAAATAAGTAAGAATAAAGCTATATTAGAGAAAATGATCAAAGTATTTTACATATCAGAAGCATACATAAGGGTATGGATCAATACTCTCTACTTTGCTATTAACTAATAATGTTATTCGAATCAAAATAATGGTATTAAGTACATACTGATTGCTGATTTAATTAAGCATATAATTTTCTTGTATTAAAACTACAATTAAGTACACAATGATGTAGTTGAATATGTACGGAAAATTCTATTTCCACACATATAATTACCTCAGTGCACATCGTTTCTTAATGCACACAATGAGTAGTTTGATTATTATTTTTTGTTCTTGTTCCACACACTAATTATACCAATTATACCCTTAACTCATATATTATACACACACCACCTCAATCCTCTTTCCACACACTAACGCTTTTTCCACACACCTATTCAAACTTGAAAAGCAACGTCTTCCATATTTCGATTCACAGTGAAGACTTCAACAGTGAAGAGAAACTCCATTGAACAAAATGAAAACCTGAAAAACTCCAAGGTTATGACCTCCTGTGGAAGTGTGCTTGTAACTATTTCATTGATTAGTAAATGAAAAACACAGTTTGAGAAAAACTAAAGAGAAGACGAGGAACATATCATCTTGGTCCAGATCAATTTTTTTTTTCCTCAGAGTCTTTATAGAAGAGTGTAACGGAAAAGGATGGGGTGGTTTCATGTTTGTTTTATCAAATAGGATAGTTAAATAATAGTTTAAATGTCAGATCATTATTTGCAGCTTCGTGGGTTTGGACCTCTTGGCTGAAGCTTTTTTGTCAGAAACGGAATTGTTTCCGTGCTGATGCTGCACGCTGGATTTGTAATTGGTTTGAATTTTAAAGTGATGTTGTTAGTGAAGTGTGGAAAACCAAGAATTTACCATCCCAATTTCCCTGACTTTGCAGCTCAATTCAAATTTTAGTTAAGATGTGCCAAAAAAAAAAAATTACTTATCACAATTGCTCTGATTTTGCAACTCAGACTGCCGAAATGATTTTATTGTCAAAATTGGTTATTGGCTTCTAAACAAATAATCCCAATGCTCTGTTTATTAGAAACTTGGGAGCCAATCTGTTTCTATATGTGTACATAAAATATTTTCATATAATATTATGAGTGTGGTGGATGCCCATTATAATCATTTTAGTTTAAGATATAAGTTCAGAGAAGGAGAGATGATTTCAGAGAAGGAAGAAGAAGCATCAGTTCCTCGGCGCTTATCCTGCACCACCTGCTTTGATGCTCTCTGGTTTTGCTATTGTACGCCTTCCTTACACCTCTCTTTCAATTTGATTTCCTTTTATTGTATTCTGCATGTACCTGGTAATCAATATTTTTCTATCTGATTGATCTCCAAAACAAAAATCATTTCAAAAAGCTTATCTTCATTTTAATCTTAAAGATGTGTTTTTTTATATTAATTTTTCAATTTCACTGTATTGTAAATCATTCTACTCGATATGAAAAATGGTGATTAGGGTTTCGGCATACATTTGTTTGTTCATGATTTGAAGCTTATTTTTTCCTTCAATTTTACTGTAGCTATTAACATGAATTGAATTCATTTGCATGAAAGAAACATTAGAAACTTGAATTCACTGGCACTATAACCTGCTTCTCTTGAACAAAATTATGCCCTAATATACAGAACCAACTATGGGACATACATTTGGAACAATTTGAGTGAAACAATTATTAGTTTTTGCTCTTGAAACACTTGGTTCTCTAAAACTTGATTTTTTTGGCCTGGATTTGATATATACTCGACCAAATTTTTATTCGTCAATGGTTGCAGTGCACAAATACTGCTTTTATGTACTCATCATAATTAGAGTTACAAATGCTCCTAATGACGAGTTCTCCCCTGCTTTTTGGCTTCTAATTTACTCTTACAACCATTTTAGCTTCAAATATTCAATTCAGATGTTTAACAACAATGGTATTAATTGATTGATTAGAGCAATAGTTTATACAACATTATTGGAAATTGCAAATACAAAAAAAAATGCAAAATAAAACAGTACTCATCATTGCCAAGTAGCCATGAAGGTCTAAACAAGTTGGATAGAGCAACAACAGCCCCTGGAGACCTTGGCCCCTCGGTGCACCTCTTGCCTTGAATAATTAGGTGAAAGAGAATTGTTCCAGATGCTTCCTAGATCCATTATTGTACATAGAACAACAGAAGGGATTGTGGAAGTTCTAGATTGTTATAGAACTATGTAGACCTAAGAATGACAAGTTCAATAAAAGTAATATTTTTTGATCATGTAGTTATCGATATAGTACTCACGTGAAATCTTGAGAAAATTAGAATACCGAATTATTTCAACAGCATCCATTGAGGATTGTCCCCTACAAACTCCCAGAAAGATAAGGGAAATAAAGATAAAAAGATAGCCGAGAGATGCTTAATTAACTTTTTCCCCATAAACCCAAGATACTCTTTGAAGACTATTGTCAGGCACTAAGGGTCCATTTAAGTTTGATGACAGTTTTATGCAGATCATGCATTGTCTACTCTACTGCAATTTCACTAGGCATTCACTTCGTCCTTCTTCAATCTCTTTAGTGGTTTTTTTTTTTTGTTTTTTGGATTGTCAAACTAATGGCATTCATGTTTTCTCAGCTCCTGTCCATCAGATGCAGCAGTATTATAGGCTTGGTGTCCTTGATAACTGTTCCGGAAAATGGAATGCTCTTGTTGATTGCTTAACTCTGAAAACTAAACGAACTTCTGTAGTGGAGGTATGTCCTTAAACCTAAATTACTAGTAGGAATGCTAGTAACAACCTCAGTACATGGGTTCTAAAATCAGTGTTCGCATACATTAAGGCCTGAAGCTGTTTTTTGGTTTTTACTTATACTTTGGGATAATTGATGGCCCACTGTCTGTCAGATACCTTCTTGATGAACTATTACATGTTCTGCCAGTCTAAATTTAAAGCTGCTATGATCTTTTATTTACGTTTTTCTTTAAAAGAACATTTTTTTAAATATATGTCTGCTTTGTTCATATTTTTTTTAAAAAAATATTTGTTAAATTTTTTGATAGAGATAAGATTCAAACCCCCAACTGCACAACTCCCTCTCATATGCCATGTTAGTGTCACCCTTCCCCCATAACAACGAAATTCTTGTATGTGATACTAGAGTAATAGATTACAAACCCTGATTATGATCACTTCCTAAAACAGGATAGGGTGACCATGATTATTAATTTATTATTAACTAAAGTCTGCTTGGACATTTTTTGCCCTGTTCTGGTGTAACACCAAATTAAATGAAATTTTTTGCACTGTAGGATGTAAGATCCTTTTTATCAAGTGCAAAAAATGGCTTTATTGTGGTTGATCCAATTTTGGTTTTCTAGACAGTTGTAAGAAAAAGAAAAGGAGAGAAATAAAAACCTTTGCAAATGGTTATTTGCTTAAGGTGATTCCAATTTGAACATCCTACAAGAGTGAATGTCAAACCACAATTTTGCTATTTCCGGGTTAAGAATCAAGGTAACTATGTGCTTTTTTTTTTTTTAACAATATTATATATATTGATATCATGTGAGTGGAGCCATTATTGTTGTTGACAAAATATTTTTCCCCATAATGAGTGTTGTAACAATTCACTTCTTGATTTTTAGTATTCAAGCTCTCAGCTCATTTTTTCAGTGTTTCTGCCCCTTGGATGTGTGTGTTCATACTTGCACATGTGAAATTGTGATTACTACTACCCTCCTAGATGTGCATAGAAATAGTGACTTGTAAATGAGAATCTAGTAGGCAGTGGCATGGCCAACACGACACGTGTTCCGCGTGTCCGAGGCATGTCAGTGTCCAACACGTTGTGGACACGGCTACGATGACTAATATGAAGTATCTGTGCTATGCTTCATAGGTACTGCCCTAATCAGTAATTGGTACTGATGTTTGGATTCTTGGCTTCTTTGTAACGGAGATAAAGAAGTTGATGCAGGGAATTTTTTCTCAAGTAATGTCAACTTATTCATTAGGAAGGGAAATTTGGAGATAGATAACTTTTAAAAGGCAGAAGTTTGGAGAATCTTCTGACTTCTGCCTGACGTCTGTACTGAAGTGGTTGAGCACTTGTTCTTGTCTGTTTAGAAGATGGAATTACCATTACTTGTAATATTTTTTCTATTATTATATACTTGTATTTCTTCATCATAGCTTGAGATCACGCCCACATTTTAGGTTGTGATGGAGGGAGACAATTATGCCTTTAAAATTCAAGCTATGTCATGCATGGTTTTGAATATCGTCCCCCAACTGTGTTGGGTGATGAGTATCAAGTTTTTGTCCTTCTGATAAAAAATAACGCTCAATTAGTACACATTTATGTATGTTTGGAAGGGGAAAGATTGAGTATACACCATAGTATATTGGTTGGAATTGAAAATCACTTGCGTATTGGCGGTTCCCAATATGTATTGGCTCACAGTCGATTTGTAGTCAGTACTGTCAGTTCATAGCCGATTCATAGTCAATATGGCAGGTTCATAGCCGATTCAACTCAAATATTTTTGAGGTTAGTGATTTTAAAAAATTCACGACCACAACACCCAATTCTCAAGACATATCAGTCGATACCCCCAATACTGTTACATATTCTGATACTGCTATTTGAAACCGAGCTCGGATCCTCGGCCGCACAAGCCTGCCGCCATCCTTGCGGCACCCCAAAACGACGTCGTTTTGGGGGAAATTTCAATTTAAAAAAAAAAAAAAATGCAGAACAGAAACTAGAGGACAGAGGAGGAGAAGAAGGAAGGAAGAAGGGAGAAGAAGAGGGGAGAAGGAGCAGCTGTGGCGGCCCCATATCCGGGCTTTTCTCTCTCTACAAACCATCGCTCTCTCTCTCTCTCTATATATATATATATAACTGATCTGCAATGGCGAACATGAGTTCATTCAAGGCTTTGGCTGTCTTCTTCGTTGTCGCACTCTTCTCCGCTACTGCATCTGCACAAGAGGCTCCCGCAGCAGTGCCCGGCATGGATGCCGGATCGGCATTTGCGTTGCCGATCTCTGCCGCCGTCGTGTGCTCGTCCGTGCTTTTGTCCTTGTTCACTCTGTTCGCCTAGTCCGGCCGGATCTGGGGCTGCCACGGCTGCTCCTTCTCCTCTCTTCTTCGCCCTTCTTCTCCCTTCTTCCTTTCTTCTTCTTCTCCTCCTCTGTCCTCTGGTTTCTGTTCTGCATTTTTTTGTTTTTTTTAAATTGAAATTTCCCCCAAAACGACGTCGTTTTGGAGGTGCCGCAGGGATGGCGGCAGGCTTGTGCGGCCGAGGATCCGGACTCTTTGAAACCATGATGTCATGTGCAGTTTTCTGTGTTCTGCTGCAAATAACAAGCTGATTGCCTCTTAATGCAGGAAATCCTGGAAACTCGAGAGAAAGCAAAGCCACACATCTGGTCTTTTCGAACACCAGAAGAAGCGGCATCCCATTGGAAAGAACTTTTTGGAAATTTAGACGAAGTGGAATGACTTCTTCTCTATCTTCTATTTTCATCTTTGTTACTCTTTTCAAATGTCTAGCAATGACAAGAATAAGAACACAAGAGAAACCAGGTTTAGAGAGGTTTTGATCTGTAATGTTATCAACAGGTTTAAATGGTTACATGAGAAGCTTTTCTTGAGCAAGAGTAAGCATGACTAACAAATTTTACGTTGTTTGACATACTTGAATTGTCCTTCATTATATTATTTGTGTTGAATATTAAAATTTAATTATGAATAAGAACAAGTTATAGATTTTGTTTTGATAGTCTATATAGCATTTTTGTTTAACAAATGCCCCACCTGAATTGAAACAAGAGCCCTATGAGAACAATTCTGATACTCTCATTTTCTCATGTTATTATTAAAATTTGCACCTATTAATATAAAGAAAAATGTTTGGGAGCACTAAAAAGGGAGCATTAGAGGGAGCACTAATGATGTGTCAGTAGGCCCTGCCCACTTTCTATGCCTTGTTTTTGTTTGTTTTTTTGCCATTCCCAATGCATTAGTGCTATTAGTGATGTATTTTTAGTGGTCTAAATCATTGTTGTAATATAAAAGAGTTATGCTAGGATCTCAAATAATTTATTAAATTTTCTATTAAATTTCTCAGGGTGTGGGATTCATACACGTGATAAATTTTCTATTAAATTTTTTACATGTGGGATTCACATATGTGAATTTGTGTAGATTTCATATTCATGTGAGAGGTTTGATAGAAAATCTGGTAGATTATTTGGGGTTCCTAGCAGTTTTTAATATAAAAAATTTAATCTAGTAATGTGCCATATATTGTGACAAATTTGGAATGCTTTATTAAATTTTTAGCAAGTTGAACGTTTAATCATTAACTTTATAAAATTGACTCTTGAATTTTCAAAAATGTCATGTCATGTCATGTATTTTTTATTTTATTTTGTAGAAATTCATAACAAAATAATTTGGGTAAATTACATTTACTCTCTTGAAGTTTTTAATAATTACGGAGATCTCCTCTATGATTTCAATAATTAAACTAACCTCTTTTACTTTTGAAATTATTATCAAAATTTCTCCATTACTAGGCTATTTAACAGAATTTACTAATGTTATGTTGATGTCATACCAAAAATGACAAAATTGTCCATTAATTGCTTTACCTATTCGAATAAGAAATTTCATTCACCTCCATTGAAGTTTTGCATATATATTATCAAAAACTCATACATATTTTACCATCATTTAATAAAATTCTTAAATTTCATACAATATTAAATAAAATCTTGAAATTTTTAAGACATTATTAAATCATTTAATGCAAAAAAAAAAAACTTTATTTTATTGATAAAATACTTAAAAATAAATAATCTATCTAAAATTAATGTTAGATAACATCCTAATAATTTAATATAAGACTTATTCCACACCACATAATAACTTAAAATTTATTATTTTAAGTAATTCATTTATTATTTAATTTTTTTTAAAGTTAAAATAAATAGATTAATTTTTTTCTTGACAATTTGCATTACTTATTTATTCATATGTAAAAAAATTACTTTTTTATCTTTTCTCAATCATATATTATTCTCAAATTTTAATTTTTATCTTTGGTTTATTAAACTTCTAGTCGATGATATTTAAAAAAACAAAGGTTAATATTTCTTATATGATTACAAAAATTAAAAAATAAAAATAGAAGAAGAAAAAATTTAATCACCTCACAATAAATTAAAATTAGTTAATAGGGAATAAGAGATCAAGAAATCATTTGAGAATAATAAACAATCCAAACAATTTATCATTTCTTACACCTAAAATTAAAATTAATCTTTACTTGAATAAAGAAATTATTTGAGAATAATAAAATACTAAATTAATTTGTTATGTATGATACTTAAAATATATTTCTCCATCCTTATTTGTCTCATTTAAACCATTTTTATTAAATTAAATCTTAAAATTTATTTCTCACATTCATTAATGGTTGAATTTTTATTTTATTTTTTTGTCTATAAAAGTTCAAAAACTTGTTGTGGAAAAAAATAGAGTCAAGAAATACATTTATATTTTTAAAAAATTATGAAAAATAAATAATAATTTCATATATATATAATAGGTAAATTAAATTAAATTTATATGTTTTTTCTTTAGAAAAATGTTTTATTTTGTTGTGTGTTTAAATTAGTATTAGAGTCGTGATTTCTCAGTTTTGCCAATAAAATTATATGAGTATTAAGGCTTGGTTTGGCATAACCTCAAAAAGTCAAAAAGTCACTATTCTATTTAAGTCACATCATCTTATTTAAATCACATCACCTCTCTAACACATCACATCAAACCCAACCCAAACCCAACCCATATAAGTCAATAAGTCAAAAAGTGCACTTTTTTAGAACATCCCAAACCAACCCTAAATATACGGAAGAAGTAAAATTAGATGATTTAAATAATAACACTTCGCTATAAATAATAATGGAACAAAATAAAGGTGAGAAATTAAAAAATAAAGTAAAAATTTAGCCATTAATGAAGGTGAGAAATTAATTTTAAGATTTAATTTAATAAAAATATTTTAAATGGGAAAAATAAAGATGGAGAAATATATTTTAAGTATCATACAACAAATTAATTGAGTATTTTAGTATTCTAAAATAATTTCTCTATTCAAGTAATGATTAATTTTATTTTTAGGTATAAGAAATAAGAAATTGTTTGAATTGTTTATTATTCTCAAATGATTTCTTAATCTTTCATTCCCTATTAACTAATTTTAATTTACTGTGAGGCAATTATATATATATTTTTTATTTCTATATTTATATTTTAATTTTTTTAATAATGTAAAAATAACCTACATTTTTTTTTAAATATGCATCGACTAGAAATTATATGAGTATTAAATATACGGAAGAAGTAAAATTAGATGATTTAAATAATAACACTTCGCTATAAATAATAATGGAACAAAATAAAGGTGAGAAATTAAAAAATAAAGTAAAAATTTAGCCATTAATGAAGGTGAGAAATTAATTTTAATACATTTTTTTTTTAAATATGCATCGACTAGAAATTTAATGACTCAAAGATAAAAATTAAACTTTGTTAATAATATCTTAGCAATTTAGGGATAAATAATTTTCTTACATATAAATAAATAAGTAGGACAAATTATTGAAAAAAAAAATTAATCTATTTGTTTCAACTTAAAAAAATAAATTTAAATAATAAATGTACTAATTAAAATTGACAAATATTTCATTATTTATATAGTGTGAAATAAGTCTTATAAATATTGTCTTAATTATTAGGGTCTTATATTAAACCATTAGGGTATTAAGTTAAAATATGCATGGATCTTTAATACTAATATATATGCAAAAACCTCAGGAAGATGAGTGAAATTTTTTATTTAAATAACTTATTAGTTCAAATGGGCAATATGGTCATTTTGAATAGAAAAATTAACAGATTGGAGGAATTTTGATATTGTCAACAAAAATAAGGAGATTTCTATAATTATTGAAATCATATGGAATGTCTCTGTATTTGTCAAAAATCTTAAAAAGAATAAGTGCAATTTACCCAAATAACTTTAATTCAAAATATGATTTAAGGGCATTCCAATACTCACTTGTTTTCCTAGTTATAACCACACGAGTTCAATGAGATCATTACAAAGCAAACGATGAGTTCAACAGATTGAATCATGTGAGCAAATTAAGTCAATTCGTAAATGCTTCATTCTCTATTATATTATTGCATTCGAATTTTTTTTAAAGGGAATTTTGTCAAAGATCCTATTTACTCAACTAATATTCCATCAGGTCCTATATATTTGAAAAAAGCTCAATAAATCCCATCCCAAAATTAACTGACTAAAATACCCCCACAACCTATATATATATATGTATAGTGCAAATTACACTTTACCCACCTCAACTATCATCGTTTCTCACTTTATCCTCTCAAACTAAAAATTGATACAATGTATTCTCTTATCTTCTGAAAGTTTTCGATCTAATTTTTGTCTTCATTCTATTAACAAAACAGACGGAAAAAAAGCATGTAATGTACATGTCATATTTATGATGAAAACATCCTTTAGATATCTGTCATAATATGACACGTGCACATTACATGCACATTTTTTTGGGTCTATTTTGTTGACATTATGGAGACATAAGAGTTAGTTTGAAAATTTTTAGAAGATGAAGAAGGTACATTGTATCAATTTTTAGTTTGAAGGGGTAAAGTGAAAAACAATGATAGTTGAGGGAGATAAAGTGTAATTTGCTTTGTGTGTATATATATATATCTTATGACAAAAAATCCTAAGCAAGCGTAGTTCAACTTCTTACACTCTCAACTCTCAAACCTCATATCGGTTGAAGATTTCTTCAATTCCATATTGCAATTTTGAAGGTTGAGTCATTACATATTTCAATGAGATTATTACAAAGTGTACGATAAGTTCAGCAGATTGAATCATGTAATCAAATCATGTTAATTCGTAAATTCCTCATTCTGCATCACATTATTGCATAACAAGTTAGGTAGTATTTACTCAACTAATATTCCACCGGATCTTTCCTATTTGTAAAAAGCCCAATAAGTCCCATCCCAAAATTAGTAGACTAAAATACCCCCATAATATATTGGGCAAATTACACCTTGCCCACCTCAATTATTATCGTTTTTCACTTTACTCTCTCAAACTAAAAATTGATACAATGTACCTCTTTCATTTTCTGAAAGTTTCAATCTAACTCTTATGTCTCCATTTTATTAATAAAATAGACAAAAAAATGTGCATATAATGTGCATATTGTATCAATTTTTAGTTTGAGGAGGTAAAGTAAAAATTACTGATAGTTGAGGAGGAAAAGTATAATTTGCCATATATATATATATATATCTTATGACGGAAAATCCTATAAGCAAACATAGTTCAACTTCTTACACTCTTAACTCTCAAAACTGAAATCAGTTGAAGATTTCTTTAATTTCATATTGCGATTTTGAAGATTGAATCATTACATATTATAATGAGATCATTACAAAGTGTACAATGAGTCTAATAGATTGAATCATGTAATCAAATCCCGTCAATTCATAAATTACTCATTCTCCATTACATTATTGCATTAGAAATTTTTTTAAGAGAATTTTGTGAAAGGTCCTATTTACTCTACTA